ATGTTCAGGATGGGGACTCGCTACTAGACCAGCAGGTTTCTCCCCCAATTACTGCACTTACCAGCAGGCCCATGGCCTTAGCCAGGAGGGCGCTGAACCACTTTCTAGCCCTGCCCAGAACCACATCCTCGGAGGCTGACAACACTCATGACAGCTTGAGTTACTGCCGGTGGTGAGGGGGTCATTTCTGGGAGCGGTTCTTCGGGGGTGGCTCTCAGGATCCCTAAGTGGCACCCACTTCATGTCCACAGGAGGTGTGGGTTTTATTGGCTGTGATGCCAAAGAGGTCCTTACCTTCAGGGACCAGCCTGGATGGCAGCCAAGCTAGCTTCCTTGGAATGTTTTCCCGTCCTGGAGAGAAAGGCGCCAGTTGAGTCTCTGCGGCTCCGACCACTTCTACTGAGGTGCCTCTTTGTCTGATGTGATTCCTGTGCCTGGGACAGAGACCACACAGTCATTTCATCGATGTCACATACTGTCAGGTATGGCCCACATGGTCAACTCTGTGTCCAAGATTTTATGAACTTGGCTCTTCAGGGAGGCTGCATGGCGTGCTGGTGACGAATGTTGTCTTCAGAGCTAGACTTTCTGTATTTGAGCCTAGCTTTGCCACTTACTAGCTCTGTGTCTTTGGGAAAGTTACTTGACTTGTCCATGCCTCAGTTTCCTCATCTGTAAAAGGAGAATAATAATAGTACCTGCCTCAAAGGCACTATAAAATGCTTTGCACACACTAAGCACTTGGTGTTAGTTGCTATAATAAGTATGCGCTATGTGGGTAGGATGGCCTGATGATTTTTCAAGCTTGGGAAAAGATTGCAGGCTTCCTACTGAATAGCCATGTGTGGGTGCTGAGTGTATGTGAGTCTTCTAGCATCTCCCCCTGCCTTATATTTTCTTTTCTTTTTTTTTTTTTTTTTTAATTTATTTGACAGAGAGAGACAGCGAGAGAGGGAACACAAGCAGGGGGGGTGGGAGAGGGAGAAGCAGGCTTCCCGCGGAGCAGGGAGCCCGATGTGGGGCTCGATCCCAGGACCCTGGGATCATGACCTGAGCAGAAGGCAGACGCTTAAGGACTGAGTCACCCAGGCGTCCCTCCCCCTTATATTTTCTATCCCTTTTCGAGTACCTGCTCTTTCCATCTTTCTTACTTTTCCCTTTGCTCACCTGCCTGAGATTAAAGAATATATAGTTGGAAGATCAGGGTCTGTGGCCTGGCTCAGCCACTTACTGCCATGTGAGCTTAGGTAAGTTTCTGAACCTTTCTGAGCAGCAGTGGAGGATTTGGGATGTCTTAAGGCTGCCAGGTATCACATAAAGGTGGAGTAATGGTGCTATTACCCTGGGATAATGAAACAGGGGACGTACATTGGGAATACCTCATGATCCTCCACTGGAAGCTAAGACTTGACTATGAATGTACCTGTGTACCAATGACCGCACCTATGAATGTACTTGATTGTATGTATGAATGGAAAAAGAATCGGTGTGATTTTTACCCTTCCTCTCTCCCTTATGGGGAGATGTGTAGTAGGGAAAAGCATGAAAACGGGAGTCAGGAGACTTGGGGTCAGTTAAGTGAGATACTGGGTGTCCAGTAGCCGACACAGAGTAGGAGCCAAAAAGATGGTATTTCTCAACTACTTGATTCCACTGTGTTGAGCCACCTCAGAGGTTTTCATTCCTATTTTATTCACAGTGACCCTGTATCACTGGAGTTGCATCATGAGCAAGGCTGTGTTATTAGAAGTGCTGACGGTAGTCGTGGCTTGAGCGTCCATTTCCTGGTGACCTCTGTTTCTCAGCTTCCTGTCTTAGAAAATAAGAATCTCAAACTAAATGAAATTTTGGTTTCTTACAGCTTTAATGGGATATGAAGGCATATAATTAGATATACACTGTCTCTCCTGTCACCCACTTTGTTTTGGTTTGGTTTTTGGTGTTTTACATACTTATTCTTTGTCTCCAGTACCCCCGTCCCACATCCAGGCCCCTAGAAAGGAAGCTGCGTGAGAATAGGGACCTTGTCTAGTTTGGCCTTCAGTGTGGGAAGAGTGCTTGGCACGTTTTCGGTGTTTAATAAATACACACATATGCCCTCATCTACAGGTATAATCATGCATTATACTATAATTCCATACATTTGTCCATGGTGGTCAATTGGTTGTTCCTCCCCTACTCCCCACCACAACATGTACCACACTGCTATTTGGAGATTAAAGGACTAGAATTAAGAATGGTTATATTGTCTGTCATAAAAATTACACAAAGTAGCAGTGCCTGGGTTCTTGCCTTTTGTGTGCATATAATATCAAAGGACAGTAACTCCTGATACAGAGGAAGCCCACAGTTTAGGGCTGTGGCCACTTGGCCACGTGACAGTGATGGTGATGTGTGTGTAACATAGGGTTGGTTACCTTTATATACATAGTGGAGGCGGTCGGCAGGAGGCAAAATATGAAGCTCAGAATTGTGCTCACACATATTATTGAGATTTCATATTGCTTTTATTATTTGGCCACAAAAATGGACATAATCCTTGTTGGCTTTAACACACCTACTAGTACTGCTTTCAGTATCCATCTTGCAGAATATAAGACAAGGCCAGAGCTTAAATTAAAATCCTCAGCTTCTTATCTCCTTCCCACAGGAAAGCAAATCTGTGTTGAAAACCGTAAAATTAAGAGGAGAGCAAGGATAGCATAATTTAGCAAAAATTCATGGCACCAGATTCTGAGCTATATGACTGGAGGGATAGGTCAGACATATTAAGAAGATGCTGCCTGCTAATGCAGGTTCCTTAAGGTGGTGCTCTGGAAATAAGAAAGGCATGCAAATATATCTAGATATATATCTAGATATATATCTAGATATATATATACACATCTAGAAGGTTTTTGCAATGCTTACTCTTTATAAGCACTCTAAGAAAATACCTTTGTAGATTGCTTGGCAATTATGCTTCTTATGAGACTTTGAAATGAAACTCAAAGCAGTTTAGTGGAGTTGAAATATATTCATTTTAGCATTTGGGTGTTGAGATTTTTGTTTCCATTTTAAAAAGGGTTTGTAATAATATCCTCCTATCTCTGCACCCACCCCCACCCCCACCTCCTCTAGCATTCTAAATTCCTTGTATTTAAGAAGCTCATTCTGTGTATTTGGCAAACGGCATCATTAACACTTGAAAAGCATTGAAACATTTTTTTAACCTTTTACACATTTATATGCATAGATGTCTGTGCTGAGGTATGTAGAGAAAAGGCATGGGGTTCTGATAATGGTGCTCTGTTTAATAAATGCCCAGGGCTATATGAGCTGTGCAAGTTCTGCCATTAGAGAAGAGCTGATCACTATAAAACAGGGAAAATCAAGTATGGAAACTATATCATTGTCTAAAAACGGGTGATTCCCCCCCCCTTTTTTTAATAAGTTTTTCTGGGTAGAGGTTGTAATGATAGGGTGTAGAGAATTAATATTACTAGCTGTAAAGAGAATTAAGTGTTACTAGGATAATTGTTCCTAATTTCGCTGAGGGTAGTCCTACCCATTGGAGCAACATACTTTTTATATCTAATTTGTAAAGAAAAAAAAAATCAAATTTAAATTAGCATGTATGTCGTAGGTGCCACCACCATACACAACAGTTGTGTTACAGGGCCCTCAGCCATTCAGATATGAACCTACATTTTAAGCAGTTTATACTGTGCACATGTCAAGTACTTCCTCAATTTCTTTTTTAATACAGATATTTGCTTCTGGAGAAATAGATTTCACAAGCATTTTAGTTTATAGCACAGTAAAAACCTCACTAATTCAAATTAATTATGGGGAAGACATGTCTGCTAGTTAGTGAATATTCAAAATTCATTGTATTTTATTCCTCTTAAATTCACAATTACTTATTACTGTAGTGTTTGTAAATAGAGATCTTCCTGGGACTGCTATAATTAGTAGATGAGTTTAAAATCAGATATATATTTTGCATGTTTATAATTGTGTTGAGTTTATTTTCTTTTTTGGGGGAAGGGGTATTAGAGTTTATAAAAAACAATCTCCCTATTCAGGTTAAACTGCCTGAGTCTTGTTTACATTATTTGATTTGCTTAGCAACCACTTTTGGGGGGTAGAGAAGAGAAAAAAATTCAACTTTAACCAAATAAAGAGACCCAGATTTCAAATTGATAAAGTCCAAAAAATAACCTGACCCTTTTAAAAGTATTGTTGTTAGGTAATTTTAGACTTCCAAATTCAATAATAAAATTTGTTTTTTAAATTTATATAAGACATTTAAAATGTCAAAATACATAAAATGTTAACAATTTACAGTGTTCTTACAAGCCATATTTCATATTATGCAGTTAAACTCAAGATTAGAAATTCCCTTTTATCATTTAAGACTTGTAGAAACTAGAGAACCTGAAGATGAACTGAGTAATGCTAAAGCATAATGGTTATGTTTGATTGACAAAGCTATAAGACATGAAAAAAAAAGTGCTGTAACATGGTTCTTAAAGATGTACAGCTATAGAATTACAAATTCTATAAACTAAGGGGATATCAGTACAGCAAATTTATATTTATTGGATTGTTTATTGGTAATATTTATTCATTCATTTGTTCATTGAAGAGTTGAGTGCCTTTTTATTGCCAGACATAGGTAATGAATGAAAAGAGCTTATGAAACATTTGTAACTTTTGCTCCAGTAACTCCTGGTTGAACATAACCTGAGGAGATAATCCAAAAAGAGGTATAAATATGTACATACAGAAATTCATGTCCTATGAAATAATTGTAATCACCCTAAATCTCCAAAGGACACTGATTAAATAACTGATAGTCTCTTGATGGGATATTCATGTACTTGAGGAGTACTTAACATGGAAAAATTCTGAAGATGTAATGAGGACAGCTACTGCTACTGCATGACTTTCTCTTTGTGAGAGGAGACAGGAGCTGGGTGTTGCTATTAACCATTGACCTTGTGGTTACTTTGCAGTCAAATAAGGTGCCCGTGGTGCAGCCATCACACGCGGTTCATCCTCTCACCCCCCTCATCACGTACAGCGACGAGCACTTTTCTCCAGGATCACACCCCCCACACCTTCCATCAGATGTCAACTCCAAACAAGGTGAGAGTCTGCCTCCTTAGGCCTTTCTCAATAAGTGAGGAGCCACATCTCATCAGTCCAGTGCCTTTTCAGGTGTCTTTGCTCTATGTCACTGTGTGGATCAAAATGTATTTGTAGGAGACGAGGAATTAACTTGATAGCAGTTTTTTATAAGCCCACAAGAATTTGTTGTTGCCTCTCTTATTTCTCAGGATTAAAAAGAAGAAAAAACAAAGGGGTTATTTTCAAAGTGACAGCTTTATAAATCTAGGATCCACAGTATAAACCAGTATGTTGTACAGATATACTATAAATTCAGTCCTCAGTGCCCCCTACAGTCTTCAGTTATTGCATGTACGAAGTGTTGATGGTAGTGTTAGAAAAATGTTAGAAAGGGGACAAAATAGGAGATTTTTACTTCAGATGTTATCTTTTTAAGTCTTTTGTGATTTCGTTTCATTTCGGTCCTTACGTTTTATCCTCTTTTTGTTATTTGCCAGCACCAACTTAGATATAATAATAAAGTACAAAATCATCTCTGTTTAAAGTCAAAGTAACATGAATCCTATTTTACTTCTCTTCATTATTACTCAGTTCTGCTTCTTTATCATTTACAGAAGAACATATAGCATAAGAGGTCTAAAAAAGCAAAATGCCCGGTTTCTCTAACCTGATGGGTATGAGTGTGGGTTGGTTGTAGGACTCAGAGCTCAGGTTCTCTAAGCCTTCTCGTTCATTCTGCTTAGAGCACACTTTGAGGATGAATTTGTTTGCAGGATGGCCTTTTTTCTTTCCAGGTGCATACACACTTGGACCTCAACAGGATCTTTAGAAGTTCAAAATAAAAGATCCTACAGAACCATGTGAAGGCAGAGAATGTAAAGGTGTAAAATCTGCCATCACCAGCATTTCACCCTTTTGTCCAGCCCAATTGTTGACCCACAGTGGACAATAAAATTTTTAAGTGTAAAAAAAGAGTGGAGTTCAGAGGCTGGGTGTTTTTTTCCACTACTCTGAGCTCTTGTAGGTTAAATCTGTAATGCCTTCATTTCCATCCATTGTTAAAACAGACAGCTTACTTGAGGACTTAGTCACTGTTGGACTTTGGCTTGAGTGAAGCTATGTACCTTTACCTAGGGAAGGTAAGAATCACCTATGCAGATGTGTCCCAGTTTGCCTCTGTCTTATTCCTCATTTCCAATCCTTCCTCTACTTCCCTTTTATCGAGGACCTCCAAAGAGTAAGAAACATCCAAGACAGATCGGAGAACATATGGTGAGAAAGGGAACTAAGATAATGTATTTTAGGAAGAAGATGGAGTTTAAGAGGGAAGATCATGACCTTGGTCATGGTGATTTCAAGTGCCTTATAGATATCTGGAGGGAGAGAAGGGGTAGATAATTTATGGGTCACCATCCAAGAGTAGTATCTGAGCTGGAGATATATATCTGGGAAACTTTAAAGCTGTAGATGACAGTTAAAGATAGATATAAAAGCCTCAAACCAGCTATAAGCAAAAAGAATTTAAGAGTGTTTTTTTACTTGTTTTTAAACTATTTATTTAATAATTGCATTGTGCTTACTATGTCCTAGGCCCTGTTTTAAGCACTTTGAAACAAACTTATTTTAAACGATAACACATGATGGTTCGGTAGTTTTTTCTTTCAAGAATTCTAGGACGGTTCTATTTTTAAAAAGACAAGTTTTTGACTAGCTACCAATTACATTTATATTTTCTTTTCTGTTTCCATCTCTTCTGCTGCCCTACCTTGTTTTGCCTTACTAATTGTAATTTATATCATTGCTTCTCAAAAAAAAAATTTTTTTTTTAATTTTTAAACTCTCTAGAACTAGAGAAAGAACAAGGGGGCATGATCAGAAAACTGCATAGTTTTTGAAGTCCTTATTTTGGCCTAAAAATTTGTGTGATTGTTGCATTCTACTCCATACACTATGTTTGTTTTAATTACTGTTAATTAGTGTTTTTAATTACTTTTTTGTCAACAAAGATTTTACATACCTTGTCACCATTTATCTCTGGGGATATGTAAACTTTGGTTTGAAAAGAACTAATTTACATGATTTTGGGTTTATATCATTCCACTTGGTCATATTCATCACCAAAAAATAAATAAAAAGCTCACTAGGTCTCTTGCTTTTACTGTCTTTCTCTCATACTGCCAGCCTTTTTAGTTATATCATGTAGCTAAACTAGTTAGAACGTGGTGGTACTGAGGTCAGAGTTACTAATTTCAAAGTTCCTACGAGGCTGGTTAGTTTTATTTAAAAAAAAACAAAACAGTATCATGTCCATACTCTAACAGTAGATAAGAACTATCAAATAAATGTAAACCGTTTGTCAGCAGAACTCATTCTCATTTGTAGGAAAATAACTAGGCTAATTTCACAGTAGGCAGCACATTCATTTTTACCTTCCTCCCCATGTGTTGGGTGTGAGGTATGTGTGTGGGTGCAGGAAAGAGAAAGGAAGCTAATGCCAGTCATTTTCTTCTCATTATGTCTGGTAAAAATGTTAAAAAGAGATTTGGGGAAATACTAGGTTTATATACCTGTTTATGTCTTTGTATTACCCACTGTATCCTTATAAATAACCACAAACACTCACATAGCACTTTTCTGTATTACATGTATTCATGCATTTATTCCTCACAACAACCCCTCTTCCATTTTTACACTGATTTTAAAGAACAATAACGATTAAGTAGCTTCCTCAAAGATACGTAGCTTGTGAGTGGCAGAATTGATAGATCCATATAAGTCTGACTCCAGAATCATTTCATCCATAATTATCAAAGTTACTTATAAAAGCTTAAAAATCATTAAGGCTCTGCTATGTCTGGCTTCTAGTACATAGTGAGTATTTAATAAATACTAGTTAAATGAATGATATGAAACGTGTCTTCAGTAGCCTAGCAGTTGGTGGAGAGGCACACACTTCTGGGATCTCACCGTAACAATAGGCTATATAAAAAACACAGATCCATTTTCTGCTTGTGTAATGACCCTAAGCCACATCATGTACTCTTGTATATACATGCAAGTATATACGTGCAAAATGCTTGGCAATATTGACCCAGAATGAAGAATGGGTCTGTTTAAACACCTACAGTTCGCTCGTTCATTTGTTCAGTCATTCAGAAGTCTTTATTGAGAACCTCCTCTGGAGACAACTGTAATTTGATACCTAGATTGGTAAAACATTGTCTCTTTTTTCCAAGCAGTATATAAGCTCATGCAGGAAATCATTTGCACAAACTAACTATAAAACAAAATGAAGAACATCTTAAGTACCATGTTAAAAGTACAAATAAAACATTGTAGTTTCAAACAGGGAAAAAGGATTTCTCAGAGCTATAAACATTAGAGCGGTGTATTTGAAATGTGAGTAGAAATTTATTTAATGGAAACCATCAAACTAAATACCAGCATAGAACTAGAATATAGCAGGTGCTAAGTAAATGTAGTTTCCTCTTTCCTCCTTTGAGCCGTAAACCCAAATCCAACTAGTTTGTACTGTGTTCAGTTGCATCAGTCCTGCTCCTACACAGAATCATTGCTGCAGGGTTTCCAAGCTTACATGGAACATGGACGAGAGTGGAGAGCAAGATTTTGGGCTCGTCTGTATCCCAGTGATGAAATTCCAGGAAAATACATATTTTCTATGTACCCGAACAGGATGCCTGAGTAATCACTTAATCACTGCAGACCATGGTTTCCCTATTTGCAAAACAAAGGGATTAAAGTAGACAGTTGTGGTAGTCTGTGACCTGTAGTCATGATTTTCAAGCTCAAATTTCCACAAAGTTTCCAAAGTTCTTCTGAGTTAGTCTGTTTTTTTTGTTTGTTTGTTTTAAACTGAGCAGTCCCCCTACAGACCCTGAGGTTTGGGGAGGTTTCTGAATCTCAAAGGTAAGAGAGTCAGCAAGTTGGCCCAGTGATTCTGACATGTCAAGAATCATCATTGTAGGCTCCGCTAGATTCACCCCTACTGCCCAAACCTCCCCAGACCCAAGAAAAAAAAATCCCAGAGTATGAAATTTGGGGTCTGCTGTGACCCCAAAGTAGCGGTACTTCTATTTTTTTTTTTTTTTTAAAGATTTTATTTATTTGACAGAGAGAGACACAGCGAGAGAGGGAACACAAGCAGGAGGAGCAGGAGAGGGAGAAGCAGGCTTCCCGCTGAGCAAGGAGCCCGATGTGGGGCTCGATCCCAGGACCCTGGGATCATGACCTGAGCCGAAGGCAGACGCTTAACGACTGAGCCACCCAGGCGGCCCAGTAGTGGTACTTCTAGCCAAAAAGTTGGGGGGTGGGGATTGGAGACAATCTTTTAAAAACAGCAAAACGAGATAATCTCATGTAAGCTCTCTATTGAGGATTAAAATAACCTTTTTCCTACCTGCTTCCTATAAGAGTTGAGTCATAATTTGTCCTAACTGATTCAGAGTTGAATTAACACCAACTTTGAAGGCCACACTTCTTAAGTCATTCCCATATGTTCAAAACCTTAAATATCTTATAAGACCCAAATGAAACCCATAGGCATTTTAAACAGTAAAAACACAGAATAAAGAACATCCTTCATATGCTCACCTGATTCCACATATTGGTCAGTATACAACCATTGAATGCATACTCTGGGTGTTAAACCTGGAAATGCATGCTCATATATGGAAGTGGCCTTTTAAGGCCAGATTAGCTATATAAAGAAACTTTTGTGGCTTTTTTCTAATCAGAATCACTTTCCCCCCAAATACACGGAATCTAAGTTTTTATATTTTGCATTTTTATGCATGTGTCCCTTTTCTGTACCCAAGGTAAAATATGCCAGTTTGATGTTTATTTCTAAAAAATTCTTACTGCTGTTTTCAAAATTTTTTGCCTAAACAAAGAGATGCCATTTGGGACTAGGATTACGTATAATCTTTAGGTGGTTTTTACAGTTATAGGGCAGTGTGCCTCAGGGAGTGTGAGCTCAAGAAACAATTTGGTGGCATTCTCATTTTCTGTGGAATACAACTAATCCAGAACAGCTTGACCTTGGAGCCCAGAGGACTCAACTTGATGAAGAGCTTAGTTGGAGCTGAAGTGGCAGAGACCAGATGAATCATATCAAATGTGACCATTATGGGGCTGAAGATGATTCCTAATTAATCTTTGATCCTCTGAGGTATCACATTTCCCAAATCTATGTGTCCATAAGGGAGCCAATGAAAATGTGAAAGTGGCAATTTACCTAATCCTTGAGCACCAAGGCAGGCCATTTACTTACGAAGGCTGTCATTTTCCATTCTACACAAAACAATTGTCTACCATTTTCTTAACCAAAGTGGAATAATGAGGGCAAACTAAATAATTTAAAAATCTTACTATGGTGACTGTTTTACCAGCAGCATATTTTCTCCTTTAAGAGTTCCTGAGGATGTCCTATTTAGGACCTATTTTTTCAGATTTTGAAATCTTGAGAAAGGCTAACAGACTGACTGCAATTAAATGCATCCAATAAGCATTGTTTCATGCTAGACCTTAAGTATTAATGGCATAAAGCATTTTGTTGCTTTTCATTTATTCTTATAGTCCAGTGTCCTGTGAATCTGAAAACTCTACTTCTCCGTTGTTCTTTTGAACAGGCATGTCCAGACACCCAGCTCCTGAGATCCCTACCTTTTATCCCCTGTCTCCAGGTGGTGTTGGACAGATTACCCCACCTCTTGGCTGGTAAGATCCTTCCTGCAGCCTTCAGTCAGGCATTTGAGCATATGTTCTTCTTTCCATTCATGGAAGTCAGCTTTATGAATGATAACACTTGTGGAGTTGAAGAAATTTCACATCAACAAGCAAGGTGCTAACTTTATTTCATTTCAATTTGGAAGATTAAAAAATATACAGACTTTGAAATGGATTGAATCCCTCTGCTAATATGTGTAGAAAATGACTGTGTAGCATTTGCTTTGAAGCTTATAGTCTTATGGATTCAATTTGTGGCTTTGGGCATTTGCTATGCCCATACGAAGTGCTCAGTGTGGTTCTTCTTGTCTAGTTCTTTATGAACAACTTATTTTTGAAACAAACTTAGACACACTGAATATCAGTCTTTGCTTATAAAATGAGCAAGTGAAGGAAATGGCAACTAGAAATTCAAAAATACAAAAGCATTTTTTGAATGTTAATAAAGTAAGCACCAGTTTGAGTTTAGACAAGTGAAAAACTGATGTTTGGGCTTCCTTTCTTCAGAATCCAAACACTCTATTTTGTTGTTTATTTCTAAAAAATTCTTACTGCTCTTTTCAAAATTTTTTAAATTATAAAGGTAAAGGAAAGGAAATGTATTTTTGGAAGAAAGACTTTTACGTAGTGCAGCCTATTTTTATCATGCTACGGTTAGCACAGAGCTTACCCCCATCCCACTCCCGTTCCCTCTCCATGCCTTCCTCCCCTCTGCTCACTCCATGGAAACACTGCTTCAGCTTTAGCAGAGGAACCCTCTCCTTTCTTTATCTGACCCTCTGTCCCCAGAGCCCCCATCACTGCCCCGGTCCCTACCTTGACATCCTTATGTTATCTTTCTTCAGCAAGAAGGGGTCATCCTGCCTTGGAGATTCCAGCTCTCTCTTTCTCTCTCTCTTTAGCACTAAATCTCCCAGTCAACTGCTTGAGTTTAATTGATTGTGCATACACTTCCAAACCTACATCAATTATTCTGTCTGAACTTACTACTTAGGGGCAGTAATCCTGTGCTGAGTGGCAGCTGGGGATAAAGATTGTGTAAATGAGAAATGTGAGATGTAGGGAAAAACAGAGAGAGATGGAATTCTCAGAGTGGAGAGGGACTAATTCCAATGAATTGATCTTTTATTTGGGTATATGAAGGGGTGTTTTAAAAATATTTGTTCATTTTTATATAAATTTTTGCCCCTTTCCTTCCTTCCCTGAAGTTCTCAAAGATTCTGAAAGTAGTTATTTCACCATTCTCACAGTTCTGTTATACTCGGTAAACGTGTGTTACGTGCTTATTTTGTTCAAAGCATTAGTGGGGTCAGGAGAGAGGAAGGGGTAAAAGGTCATTCGTGGCCTGGTTTGCTTTTCAAGTTGAGGGTGGGAGATTTTCTTAGGGTAAATGGTGCTTTGATTGGGTGGGGAGTAAGAAGGGAAGCAGTTGGATACCTGAAGAAATGCTGTGCTCTGTAATGACCCCCACGCAGTTCTTTCTGCATACCCCCTCTTCTCCCCTCATCAAACTCTTACTGCTGGTTGGTAACTCGTGTTTTGTCATTGATGGGTTCCTTTCTTCTGTGACCTCAGGCAAGGTCAGCCTGTATATCCCATCACGGGAGGATTCAGGCAACCCTATCCATCCTCACTGTCAGTCGACACTTCCATGTCCAGGTAGGTGGAGGTGGAAACTGGGCACCCCAGGACAAGTTGCTCTTCTTGCGCTTGCATTTTGTGCGCCTCTGCTTGCCTCTCGGTTGGCTAGGAGGGTGCATAACTCAGCCACGCGTCTGTCTGTGCAGTGTGCCTGGCTCCCACACTAGGTGTCGCAGAGAGCCCTGGGTGGAGCCAAACGCTGCACCCCACCAGCACCAGCCACAGCCCTCGGGGAGATGGGCTCAGCAACACCCGGGAAACGGTGCATCCAAAAGAATTCACTGCCACCTGACTGTGGGATGTGAAATGCCCTGAAAGCAGACATTCTAAGAGGAGCTTGTTTGATTCAAAATATGCTGGGAGTGGGGTAAGGGGGAGGATAAAGACTGGTTTGGTCTGAGTTCTGTAATTTGCTTTCTTTGAGGAAAGTTGTATCCGTTTAATGCAACAGTGTTTGAAAATGCCCAGGGAGTCGAGAGCCTTCCTGGACCAAGGCTGTCAGAAGAGAAAGAATGGTGCTTATTGGCTGTCAGGCCATGCGGGGTGTGTGTCCTAGTGTGTGAATCAGGCCCTGTGTGGACATGTTTTAGTTCAAGCGAAGCTCTGTGAGATCTGCCAGCCACACTGCTCTGTGTAATGCTTTTGCTTCTGGAAAGGATGGTGTCTGTGCTTGATGTACACGCACATTTGTTGTGCATCCTCTGTGTGTTCGATGTGGCTTATTCAAGGGAGCTAGCATTATTGTGCTGGAAGTCAAACTGTTGGGCTAGCAATTGGTTGTGAATCTTTACTTTTTATTATATAGATACGAAATTGGGAATTTCAGCTTTTTAAAAAATCATTATGTGCTCAGTAAATTGTAAATCTAGCTGGTTGGGGGGGATGAAATTAATATCCTTCCCCCAAAATATATTTTTACACCTTTTAACATTGTAAGAACTCTCTAGTGACAGGATTTTCTCCCATGCAAATAACCAGCATCATGTATCTTTGCAAACGGTACATGTAGCAGAGCATCATTACTTAATCAAAATATTTGTATTTTTTCCATGCCTCCTTAATTTTTAAAAATTTGTTTCTGATCTAAGCAGAGGGTTCTTTCCTTCCCAGATGAAGGAGTTAATTGTGCTGGCTGTGGTAAAAGACCTGAGAACATTGTTCTTGTTGAATTAAATGTTCACTTTGAAACAGTTTGAAAAGCAGGGCACCTGGTTGGCCCAGTCAGTAAAGCACGCAACTCTTGATCTCAGGGTGGTGAATTCAAGCCCCTCGTTGGGCGTGGAGTCTGCTTCTAAATAAATAAATAAATAAATAAATAAATAAATAAATAAATAAGTTTGAAAAGCACAAATTTCTAAAGCATATTCAAATTTATCAAAGCATTTATTGAAAGTACTTTTATTTTTCTTGCATGGCAGTTGCCCTCCTTTGTGTTGTACGGTGGTGGATATTTCAAGATTTTTTTTGTGCTCTACCAGGCGTACTCGGGAGAAAAGCCTTTAGTGTGTATAGTTTTTACCTGGTGCGGAACTGTAGCCTTCCTTTAATTTTATTACCAGTTTTCCATAAGACTAGATCTTTCAAATAGTACTTTCTTTCTGTATAGAAGATTATTTTAGAAGATGCTGATGGCAGCTTTACTAAATTGGGGACTGAAAACAAACTTCCCATCCCTTATTTTTTCAGTTGTTCTCTCCAGATATCAATAAAGAAGCCAACCATCTGAGAAGACTTAATGCGACAGTTTGCTTAGGAATGTAGGCAGAGATATTTTAATGTGGTGTCTTTAGCTTTCATTTAAAAATCATTTAAAAAGCTAAATCCTAATAAAGTGTTATGTTTCCAGCAATTACACTTACTGAAATTCTTCTTTGAAAACTGCTTTGCAAGAAAATTGACTTTTTTTTTTTCTACGACCCAGAGCCCTCCCAGGAAAAATGTCTGATTCTATTAGTTTGAAAAAAATTCTGTTATACACGGAATAAGTATAAATATTTCCACTTGAATACAGAGAGAAATTAATTATTGGCCCACTCTAATTCATAGTTACTCCTGTGTGTAAAGATATGTTTTCACTTTCAGCCAATAGCAGTTAGTGGATTGTTTCAGAAGTCTGCCTCCTTTTGCTACAACAACCATTAGTACATATGTTTTCCTTCTTTCAGGTTTTCCCATCATATGATTCCTGGTCCTCCTGGCCCCCACACAACTGGCATCCCTCATCCAGCTATTGTAACACCTCAGGTCAAACAGGAGCATCCCCACACTGACAGTGACCTAATGCACGTGTGAGTATGCGTCCGGTTTCACCTGTGAATGCCTTAACAAACAGGATTTCAACACAGTTTCTTCTTGCTGTTGTTGAACATTTCCTCCCTCTCTTTTATTATGAAAATCAGTGTGTCTCTGCCTTGAAAGTTCTGCCCCTGAGGACTTTAAGCAGCTTGATTCTCACCGCACTGATTTTAAGATTGGAATGGAGCACAGGCCTCAAAAGATCAAGGGAACCTCACCAAAACGGAGTAATCTTCAGAGTGTGGGCATTGAATAATCTTGAGCTGTTTAGCAGTTCACTACCAGGTTTTAATTGGGTTCTGATTGTTGCACCTGATGGTACCTGGGGGCAGTAGACGGGAGGGCTCCATGCATTTCCTTCCGCATATGCACTTAACCCTTGCTCGAGGCTTCAAAAGCACAGAATTCAAGGGAAAGGGGCAAACCAAGCCCAGGATCCCCTTTTGAGCCAGGGTTGTCTCAGGCTGTTATAGCAGGACTAAATTCCCTAAAGACATTGTTAATTGAACTCCTTAGTCTAGGGGGTAGGGTGTGGTGGCAGATTATAGACCAGGGATGGGAGGATGGGGTGGCAGGGTGCATGTGATAGTGCATAAAACCCCTGCACATGTAGGCAAGGCCAACATGCATTTGTTTGGGAGAGAGAGTCTTAAAGTTTCATTAGCTTCTCAAGGGGGCCCTTGACCCAAAAAAGTTAAGAACCTCAGTTCTGAAAGAGGAATAACCACCCATATTATGTGTTTGGCTTTTCCTGAGGTAACCAAGGAGCTCAGGCTCAGGGCCCATTTTGCGTCAAACACTTCTATAGCTGTAGGTAAACTTTCTCAAACCAAAGGATCCTCACTCCTGCTGAGTTGTTTTTCTAATTTGATGCTGTTCTGGGGGCTTATAGAGCTCCTAGAGGGTTGTCCCCGGCCTGAGTTTGACTGGTGATGTAAACAGATGCTCTGCTTCTCTCCTCCCCTGTCCCTCCTCCCCACCCCCCACACCATCCCACCCACCTTTTAGGAAGCCTCAGCATGAACAGAGAAAGGAACAGGAGCCCAAAAGACCTCACATTAAGAAGCCTCTGAATGCTTTTATGTTATACATGAAAGAAATGAGAGCGAATGTCGTAGCTGAGTGTACTTTAAAAGAAAGTGCAGCTATCAACCAGATTCTAGGCAGAAGGGTAAGTAGGGGGGTGGGATGTAAATGTTTATGGTGACCTTGGAACTGTTTCGTTAAAGGTGATCATAGAATGCGTTTGTATAATCACAGCCACTTTGGGAAGTAACAGAAGATAGGATAATAATCTTTAGGAGGATTAAACGATAGAATGCATTGTTAACAACTTAGATTGTACCTAGCACATAGAAAACCTCCTGTAAATGTTAACTGTTTTTCCTGTTATCATTTATTGGGTATCTTTTATGTGCCAGGTACTCTGGTAGGCATTAGATAATAATTGCTGAATACAATAGATAGGGTCCTTGTCTTCATGGAGCTTAACGTTTTGTGACAGGATGCAGATGCTAGACAGATAATTACCAGTGTATAATTAAAATTGTGATAAATACTGTGAATGTAAAGAGTAAGATTCTATGAGAAAGAATAACAGGGGGCTAGGGAAGTGCCCCTCTAAGAAAATGGTATTTAAGCTGAGACCTGAATGAGGAGTAGAAATTAACCACGTGATTAGTGGGGAGAGGTGGACCCTCTCCAGATGGAGTGACAGGTGTGTGCACTCGTGTCTGAAGCAAGAAAGCACTTAGCCCACATAGGGAACTATAGAAAGGCCTTGCAATACTAGCCACGCTTCTAGAAGAAGCCGGGCAAACACAGGTGGCCACTCCTTCCAAGACAGAAGCAGATCTGTTCTACTCAGAAGCTTTAACTGGATGAATTTATATGGGCTGGAGAAGTCTTTATTCTAGAAAAATTTTTCTCTGGGTCTTAAAGTGTATATGCGCATGGTTTCTGCATTGCCTCCTTTCTTTTCATTCCTTCTTTTACTCATGCCAGGATACTTTTCTGATCACCTACCGTATGCCAGGCACTAGGCTACCACTAGCACAGGCACTCTAAGATTTCTTTATCCAGCCACCACCCAGAGGCCAGGAAGTCTTTCCAGGTGCTTTTCTCAGGATTGAAAAGGTTTTAAAACGTTAGGTATCTGAGGAGTGGTGGAAAAAATTGGAATTTTTCTAATATTACATTATAATTTTAGAAATGCTTCATTTTAATTTGTTGATGCTCTTCATATATGTGTGATAGTTTATTAAATTATGACCTTATGTATTTGTTTTTGCAACCTCTCAAGAAATTCATAATTTATAAATCAGCATTTAGGCAAGAAAGGTCTAACGACCTTTGTAAAACTTAGATGATCGTGTTTTAGCTGTTGTTGGGGGTAATTTTTACCATGTTTGATACAAACCTAATAAATTTCAACATTCATAATGGAAGACATGCAGGAGATTTCCAGGCCACGTGAACAGATAGAGGGAAGTAAGCTCTCTTGTATTTTTGATTCCTGTTGTATAGAATAAAAATGCAGTTATTTCCAATCTGCAGGACACCAGGGTTTTAGGGGGTAGGGTGTGGTGGCAGATTATAGCTCTCTTGGTGCCCCATGTACAATACTCTCCCTCCCTGTGGATTCTTAAACACTTAATAACAATAATTACAGTGATTTCCCAAGCCAGAGCATAGCAGATAAATGATTCCCATCATCTTTGAGGAACTTCGCCTTAAAATTTTAAAGGCTGATGACCATCCCCCCTGACCCTTTAAAAGAAGAAACCAGAGGGAAAGAAGGGTTGATGTTCTTTGTTTAGTTTATATAAAACTCTTAGCTTTTTTCCCGTTTTTGAGTTAAAGGTCCCCTGGCCCTCCAGTGGGAAGTATTTTCCTGCTCAAGAGAGTAAGTAAGGATATGATACGGAGGTATGCTTCCTATTTTTAATGCACGTTTCCAACAATTGCTACTTTCTCAGGTCCCTTAACGATCCCCAGATCAGAGCGTGTGTCCTAAAAGGTGGTTCTCATTTGGGATCTCTCTCTGTCTTTGATTTGGACACCTGTTTCTATTTATAGGTCTCTGAGATCTTTGATTAAGATCAGGTTTTCTATCCTTTCATAACCCCTCTGGCAGGGTAGTCCTTGCTAGTTCTTTAAAGTTCCTGCTTTTAAAATCATGAAGTTTTACACTGGGATAATTAGAATTCTTAAAAGTAGAACTTAAATCCATTCTGGCACATTTTATCTTTTTTATTTTATTCATTTATACTGTATATCTGAAAAGAAATGTTCAGTCATTTGAATTAAAGTTTTCTTCTTCATGTCATAAATAATAATAGCACAAATCTTACTTTAAAAGAAACCTTTTCAGACCTTCCAGGCTATTAAGGAAAGTCCATTTGTTGCAAATTTATTGTCAGAATTTTTTTTATCTTGGACTGTATACGTTTTCTAAAGTTAAATTGGTATTTTCCCAACAACTTGGGAAATGTTGACAATGAAATCTGATTTTTTTTAAATTCAGTTTTTCAGTAAGCAAGAGATAGAAAAGTGTTTTTAAAAGCCCATTGTGTTTCAGAAATTCCTATAAAGAAAGACCATCTTTCTAGTTTGTACTAGACTTTTTATTTTCATTTACAAGGCTTTAATACCATTGTTTTACCCTGGTAAAGGATCTTTTATTTGTGGGTAGATCAAAAATATTAGAATTACCAGGGAACTAAAAGCAACTGAAAATTCAAGTAAATAGTTCGTGGCCTGCTTTTTCTCCTTGCATTTTGCTCAGTTTTGTTAGCTGGGATCATTTTGTCAACTAAATGTCCCGTTTTAACTCAAAAATAACTTGTTGTTTGAGTAGAAGACCTAACCTCCATACATATTTTGAGAGAGAAATTTTATAAAACTTATTCCAGGTTTTCTCAGCAAGTTATAAAGCTGCCAGAAACTATATAAAATTATACCCATGAATATTGCATTAGTTTGAGTTCTGACTTGTCAAATGATAAATTTACAAAAGTTATAATTTTACTTTTTTTTCCTTTTTGTCTCCCTGTTTGTTCCTGATTGGTAACGCTTTGCCTCTTGCCAATCACATTTAGCACCAGAACTGTGTAAATATTAATGATCAGTCTTTTCTTAAAAAACAAAAACAAAAACAAAAACAAACCCCAACAGACAATCAAAGCAGATCTTTTCCATTGTGTCCAGTTTGTTTTCTGCCCTATGTAGGTCTCTGGTACTGGGTCAGTGTTCCAGATTAAGCAAGGCCAGTGGTTGGGAGAAGCCTGGTTTAAACTCGCAGTACTGCCTCAGACATGCTTCCTTCTTAGGCTTGATTTCACTAATTGTGTTCGTTCTGCGGGTACAAAGAACTGTGTCTCAGGTAACTTTTTTTTTTCAGGGTTTTTTTTCCTTCCACCTCCCCAGCGTGTCCGGCTCCCCTGGCCCCTCATCATTTTTTAAAAGAAAAGCATATTACCTGAGTTGCTTTCAGATTCGGACCCAGGTCCTGCTTCTTAACCGCTTGACGCTCTGCACTTCTGAAGTGATTTAAAAAGGAGCCATCTGTCCTATCCAACACTGAGGCCCAGGCTGGTTTCAGGGGCTTTCAGAGGAGCTGAATCCGAGGCCCTGCCCTTAGGCACCGCCTGTGCCGGAAGCTGGAGTGGGAGGGTGGGTGCGTCAAAAGGTGCTTCAGCCTTCTTCTTGGGATCAGGCCCCGGGTCTTGGAGCAAGCAGGAGCAGCAGGTGTTTGTTCTCTTGAGGAGAGCTGCCTAGCCACACCTCAGGAGCCTCCTCCCGGAGAACTTTCTCTCTCTCGTTGCCTCTCTCCCTCACTCCTCTGTCCTTTCCCCACTCCAGTTCAGCCATGCCTTTCTTTTCTTTTCCTTCGTTTTTAAAACTAGGACAGGGAAATTAAAATCAATTAGGCAGGGTAGCCATGAATGAGAAAGACCCTCCTAGCACCGAGAGCTGGGGCGAGCAGGAGTGGGCAGGTGGGAGCCGACCCAGGGTGTGGGTGTGGGTGGTGTCGGTCAGGTCTGCCCCTCCCGTGGCTTTGCCTCCGTGCCATCCTCTGCGGCTCGTTCGTCCCCCAAAGTCCAGCCGGTTCTCCTGGAAGGTTCCACTGGCAGATGCTAGCACTGAAGAAGTGGGGAAAATACTTGAAAACTGCCTGCTAGGGCACCTAGATTGAGTCGTGTGCAAACATATGCAAAGCAATGTGCAAATGTAAGCTGCTTAAATTTCCGAACGGATGCCTTGGGTACACAAGCTATTTTGCTGTATATGATACATAATTATGTCAGTTATTAAAAGGGAAACATTCTCCAGGTTACATACATTACAACCAGGTAACAAAAGGGTTACATTCTCCAGGTTAGATACTCCAGTCTCAGATTCTAGATGGCAAAATAAACCTAGGTAGTGCTCCTTGCTTTCCATCAGAAGGAAGCTAAAAACCGTAGCCATAAAGAGCGCACGTGTGACTGGACCATGTTATCCGTATGCTCCCTCTAGACAGGTAGTGTGAGGAGAAGGTGACGGGACAGAGGCAGACTGACTTGAGGTCTTGCTTTATAGACAGGATCCTAGGATGCAGGTTTCAGACTCTTCATATTGACAGAGTGGGAGAGTGTCCATGTGAGGTGAGGATGCATCCGTGTGAAAAAGACATCTGGAAATTATCACATTTTGCATAAATAAATGGTACTTGGTTTCGAATACCAGACTATGGTACAGACTAAAAAAGCACTAAGTTGGGTGTTGAGGTTCACCAGTGAAAGTTCTTCCTAATTTACACTGGAAAAGAGAAGGGGTGGGTGACAGATCATTTTACTTCGGCTCTTTAATTGCCTTTGATGTGTTGCATGTGATGTGGGAGAACAGGATAGAGACCTAAGCTGGGGTCGCACTCTCGCCGCCAGACTCCGAGTGGGTCTGTGCAGGACTCGCTCTTCTGTCATTTAAAAATAAATCAGAGTTTAAGTGCTTAATATTTTCATTCTTTGATGTTTGAAACATGAAATACGTAGTATTACTTCTCTTTTGCTTACTTACTTGATTGGTTCTCCTTCCTCTTTTTGTTTTAGTGGCATGCCCTCTCCCGTGAAGAGCAGGCTAAATATTACGAATTAGCACGGAAGGAAAGACAGCTACATATGCAGCTCTATCCAGGCTGGTCTGCGAGAGACAATTACGTAAGCTCTTCTGCATGCCAACAGCTCGCTACTGTCACTCATCCTTCGTTACTTTTGTTTTATTATTTTTTTAAGGTTTCATTTATTTATTTGACAGCAAGAGAGGGAGCGAGAGAGCACAAGCCAGGGGAGCGGCAGGCAGAGGGAGAGGGAGAAGCAGGCTTCCTGCTGAGCGGGGAGCCCCACATAGGACTCAATCCCAGGACCCTGGGATCATGACCTGAGCCGAAGGCAGACGCTTAACCGACTGAGCCACCAGGCGCCCCTCTTTCTGTTCCTTTTGTGATGGAAATGTGTTTTAGAGTACAGTGCCCCCCCATCCTCCCTTATTCACAGGGGATACATTTCAGAACCTCCAGTGGATTCCTGAAACCACCAGTAGTACTGAACCCTGCATGTACTATGTTTTTTCCCGTTCATACATACCTATGATAAAGTTTATAAAGTAGACACAGTAAGCGATTAACAACAATATAGAACAATCATAACAATATACTGTACTAAGAGTTATGTCAATGTAGTCTGTCTCTCTAAAAATATCTTACTGTACCGTACTCCCCCCTCTCCTCGTGAGGATGTGAGACAGTAACATGATGACATGAAGTGAGCTGACTGATGTAGGTATTGCAGTGTTGTGTTAGGCTGCTCTCGACCTGCTGACGCCACATTAGAAGGAGCATTGTCTGCTTCCAGACCCTGTATGACCAGGGGTAACTAAAACTGTGGAAAGCAAAGTGACAGATAAGGGAGGACTACTATATACATAATGCCAGTACTCTTTCCTATTTGGGGAAGTTCATGAACTTTATAATAAAGATTTCATGGATATATTACATTTGGAAAGCATTGAGCTGTCATACTTTTTTTTTTTTCCTCTGGTTATATAATACATTTTTTAGGTAAAACTTTAATCCAAAAAAAATCCATAAAAATGGTGAAAAACAATTTTTTTTAAAGATTTTATTTATTTATTTGACAGAGAGAGAGAGACACAGTGAGAGAGGGAACACAAGCAGGGGGAGTGGGAGAGGGAGAAGCAGGCTTCCCACTGAGCAGGGAGCCCGATGCGGGGCTCGATCCCAGGACTCTGGGATCATGACCTGAGCCAAAGGCAGACGCTTAACAACTGAGCCACCCAGGTGCCCATGAAAAACAATTTTTTAAAAAAGCCTGTAATCTCGAGGTGCCCAGGTGGCCAGTCAGTTTAGCAGCCAGCTCTTGATTTCAGCTCAGGTCATGGTCTCAGGGTTGTGGGATCAAGCCCCACATCAGGCTCTGCACTCAGCAAGGAGTCGGCTTGAGATTCTCTCCTCCCTCTGCCCCTCCCCCTGCTCGTGCTCTCTCTCTCTCTCTCAAATAAATAAATACATCTTTAAAATAAAAATTAAAAGCCCATAATCTCATCCTGTAAAGGTGACATTAGTAATAATTAGTTACATTATCTTCCAGGTATTTTTTCTGTGTACATGGTTTTTTAACTTGGATATAATTGTGTGTGTGTGTGTGTGTGTGTGTGTGTGTGTATACATACACTTTGGTGTCATGCTTTTATATATAATAAGCATTTTTCTGTTACAGCATAGTGTTTCTGTGTATCAATTTTAATGGCTATATTATAGTATTTTGAGTGAATGTCACAACCATTTTTTCCTGTTTTTTAGACATTTATTTTTTTTTTACAATTAGAAATAATCCTACTATGAAGATATCTATGCATAACAATTTTTCTTCTGTGTTTAGGGCTATTATTTCTGTAGGATAGATTCACAGTAGTGGAATTAATTGAGTTAAAGGATATAAACATTATAAAGGCTCTTTGATACTTACTGTCAAATTTCTTTCCAAAAGGATATTTTCTAATTCTTAAAAACGTATTCAAGCGACTGTTTTGCCACAGACTAATTAAAGCTAGATTTAATAATTTTTTTGTTCGTAGTACTGTACCTTGATGTCTATTATGTATTTTATTCAGATGGAGTAGGTATTATATTTTTTAAGTTGTCCTAATTGGCCAGAAATACCCCATTTATAGTCCCCGTTATTTTATTACTTTAGAATTTGTAGGTTTTACTAACGTGGTCTTGATACAGCAAAGGCTATTACTGAGAAAGTGTATTATAAATTATATATTTCAGTTTTATATTTTATGGAAGGGATCAATTTTGATTAAGCTCCTAATTTAAAATTTTTGAAGATCATTTTCAGTGTTCCATGTGAGCCTGGCATTAGAAAAACCAAGTAGGACAGCCTTAATATTAGGTAGAATTGTCCCTTTTTTAAAAAGGGTGAGGGTGAAGCCATTAATATATAATTTAAATGTGTGACCATTGCTGTAGATGGTCCTATGGGGCCCCCTGTCTAAGGTCATACATCCCATATGATGGAACACCAGGACTTTTGGAACACATTTGTTTCCTGTAACGTGCTCTGAAGAAAGTCTCTACTGGTCAGGATTTGAAGCTTAAACCCTGGCTACCACTGTGACACAGGAAGGAAGAGTCTTGGTGCTTGCTACTTAGGAGCAGTGGCTCACTGGACCCTCCTGAGCTCCTGTTTGCTTGCCTTAATGACTACCATATGCCTATTGTCAAGACCCGTCTTAAATGTTTTCTGTGATATTTTCTAATCCTTGTAATAATTTAGGGTCATGAGTAGTAGTATTGCAATTTAATGCAGTATGGGGGAAACTGAGGGTTTAGACAGGTTAAGTAATTAGTCCACGGCCATATAGTGGCTAAAATTGCAGTTGTTACCCGGGTCTCCCTGACTTTCAAAATCTATGCAGTTTGCCTTCTCTGCAGCAGACTAGCACAGTCTTCCCAGCGCCTTCTTAAGTAGACTGCTGTAATTCAAGAGTTTTCTCCCCTGAGCTGTGCTTCTGTTCTCTGGGCAATTATTAGCATCTTTCTGGTTAGATTTGACCCATGGAAGGGCTATGCTGTGCTGTGAATTTGTATAGATTTAACATTGCTTGTTGAATGTCTTTGAGGGAAGTTTCTGTTTCTGAATCTTAGGTAAAGGATAAAACTTTAAAAAGAGATAAACACAGGGGTGCCTGGGTGGCTCAGTCGTTAAGCGTCTGCCTTCGGCTCAGGTCATGGTCCCAGGGTCCTGGGATCGAGCCCCGCATCGGGCTCAGTGCTCGGCGGGGAGCCTGCTTCTCCCTCTCCCACTCCCCCTGCTTGTGTTCCCTCTCTCACTGTCAGATAAATAAATAAAATATTTAAAAAAAAGATAAACACATATTCTGTCCCTCTCTCCTTTTCTCCATGTGGGGAGATGAGAAGAAAGTAGTTTTGAAGAAAGCCAGCATAGTATGAATTTACCTTTAAAGATGTTCTGCACAATTTTTAAAGGAAATTGTTTTGTATAACTTGATTGTGGGATCCCCTGGAATGAAGGGAAAACCCAGCTTCGTCACATACAATTTTTATAACAATAAATATCAGCCTATTAATTAGTAAGGCAAACAAGTTAATCAAGTGATAGCGCTTTAGCTAGAGATTATTCTTACAGTAACAGCATAGGAATGGCGTTTAAACAAGATGCATGCCTTGTGTCTTAGCAGTTAGTGTCAGGTCGCTACCCCTATCCTCATATTAAATACTGTATCTCAGTTATTTAATATTAAAATGCTCTGTTCTGTGGCATCATAGATTTTATAACTTCAGTTCTTAGCGCGTTTATTTTTTCTAACTTTTATAACGGGAGTTTTCATAAGTCAACAGTGCATATATTTTCTTAGGTGAGATCAGCCAGATATTGGTATTGTTAGAGCTTTTAAATTTAATGCTTAATATCCCCAGTATCATATATAATTTTAATGAAGAATATTTTTATTTTTACCACACATGGATGAGTTTTTTGTGTAAGTTGACATCAGTACATCCAAACTACTTAAGTCTTTTCTGTCTACCATGAAATGTTAGTTCATACCCAGAATTTAATACAGGTTATTTCTCAAAGACACTAGCAGTCTGACACCTCAGGCCACAGTCGTGTGTGCTGGGCATGGCGCAAAGTGGCAGAGATGTGCTGAGATGCTAAGGTGGTGCTCTCAGGAGCCAGGGGCCGTGTGGTGAGGGGCCGCCTGCTACAGGGGCTGGGAGGAGCTGGGTTCTGGCAGTGAGGTCTGCCTGAGGGGGAGCCGACCGGAGGGACAGAGGTGAGTAGGGCTGAGGAGGTTCCCGAGAGCCGGCTCTGGAGAGGAGTGTTGAAAGGCAAATGGGAGCGAGGAGGAGAAAGTGAGGAGAAGCTCCTGACACACGACACCACCTCACAGCACCTTCTGGAAACCACAGTAATGCCGTTTGAAAGGAAGATGGAGGAAGCCCAGGAGAAGCATGCGCTCCCTCCGTCTGTTCCCCTCCTGCCAGACTGCTTTTAGTAACAGTGTTAAAGACGACGCCATGATTTTCGATATGCCATTTCCCAGGGTCACGAATATCTGCTGTTTGGGAGGATGGTTTGAATCAACCTTCCAAAGCTTTAAAGCTTCAGCAGTCAGGTCACATGACATGTAGAAAAACTATCCTGAGGTGCATAAAATTATACTTTTATATATTCACCCAGTATGTTCAACGTAACCTTACAGTTTTACGTTTTGTTCTTGGTTAATGTGATTATTACAGCAGACATAAGATAGAACTATTGGATGTGATCTGTGTTCTGGTATAGTTATTTGAAAATACCGCCCTAATCCAGGCCATTTACTATACATATGAATTGAATATGTACTGTGTCTATGCCCTATTATAATTATTTTTAGGGGAAATTAGGAAGAAAAATAGAAAATTAGGGCACTATAAATGGGACTTAAAATTGTGAATCTGTGCTGAAGGTGATTTCGAGATGTATTTAAGATTGCATGAGTATTCGTGTTATTGTGTCTGTTTTAGGAAACAGGGTCCAAATTTGCCAGATATGTCTTTGAAATTACCTTCCATTTTCTCAGGTTCAAACTTATCTTTCTGCCGCTATCCTTGATGATGTTAGGCCTGTGCCATGGGGGCTAAGCGTCTTCACCTAATATCATGAATGTTTAATTACATGGTGGAATTGACAGGAAGGAAGATTTATCATGAACACCACCAGAAGTGGGTTCTAGGTGTGGTGGTTGCTAGCAGAATGCCTCCGTAAGTGGGCTTGGCTTGAATGGGCATCTGTGGCCACAGGCCTAGCACGTCATTACCCTAGTGTGTATGTGGGAGGCCACTTCCATTGTCAGTACTGATAGTAGAGTAGGAAGCAGTAGAGACAAAGGTCACAAAGAGATAAGAACTTTCTCTCTCGCTCTCGCTCTCGGTTTCTAGGTATAGATGGTAAAGAGAGCGAGAAGGAGGCACCTTTGTCTCTTTGTTGCCTGCCTGCCTTTTGTACTGTTGTGTCCCATTCCTGCCTGTGTTCACAGTCTAGTCCGTAACGTGACCGTGTGCCCATCTTCTTCCAGGGTAAGAAGAAGAAGAGGAAGAGAGAGAAACTCCAGGAATCGACATCAGGTAGGCACCATATGACTTCCCAGTCAGTTCTCCTGCTTATGACAAACACCTCTTAAAGTAGTCTGCGTCTTCTGCACCCTGCTTTATTCTGCACCTGTAACCTGTGATTTTCTAAACTCTGCTTTCCTTCCTGAGAGTCTTTAAAAATGTTTAAAAGGCCTTTCTTTTAAATGTGACTATGTGAAGGTATGTCTGAACGCTCCTTTCCCAAACCCTGTCCCCCGGAATCCTGGTTGTTAACTGTGGTGGGTTTTGTCTTGTTTTTGCTTTCATTGTCTACATCGTCTCTAACACTTCTGCTGTGCTTCTGTCTGCACAGCTCCTCACAATAACAATTTCTGTTCTGATTTTATAATATGCTACCTTATGTGTGTCCTTGAGAATCTTTTCTGTGGCTTGGGTTTTCTGAAAATAGAAAACATGACAATAGGGTTTATCTTTCCTGGATGTTAATTCAAGGCATCAACCAGTGAGGTTCTATTTATTTCCCCTTTTTCTTTCATTGAAAGTAAGGCCACTACTTGTACTGCACAAATAAAAATGGCTGGTATAAGAACCATAAAAAGTAAAGCAAACAAGTCCACAGGATGTTGTAGCTACTACGTATTTGGAATGTACAAAAACCTCTTCAATAAAAATTTGTTAAAGACACAATTTTCTGCAGGTACAGGTCCAAGAATGACAGCTGCCTACATCTGAAACATGGTAAGAACGACTCTCTGGTCCTACTGCTGACATTAGTTATAAACAGAGGCAACTTGCTTGTGAATCTTCTTGCTCATGCTGATGCATTCAACACTGCTCCTTTAAAGAGGAAACTCCACCAAAATCAAATTAGTGCTTTAAAAAAAAATCTGATGGTTTTTATACCGGCTATGTTTTTGCAATATAGTATGCGTTTCTCTCTTCTTTCCTTCCTTCTCCTTTTGCCCCTTTCCCCTAACTCTGCTCAGCCATTCCTTACTGACCTGCTGAAGAAACAAAGGACAAAACCAGCAAGCCCTCTTACTCTGCAAGCCTAGGGCTGCGCACGAGGCACATGAGACGTGTTCCAGCCCAGGACGTGGAAGTTTTTGCTCCGTAGAGACTACTTCTCAGTGGAGATGATATGTAGATACTTAAAAGTAATATATTTCTAGTGAGAAAGAGGAGCTTTACGTACTTTTTTCTATTATTTAAAAATACGGCATGGGGACTTAATAACTGTGTTCTGCTATCAGGCTCTTGTCTTTATCGGTAACCATTGCTAGATCCCAGTCAAGCATTTATAGGTGATGTTTAGTTGTTGTTGTTGTTGTTTTACTGTAGTGATCGTATTTTTAACCAATTGGCCACCAGCCCTGGTGTGAACCTGGCTTTGTAAGTTGACTTAGTTTTGCTGAGCTTTGGATTCACAGCTCATTGACATCTTTCCCAGCAATGACCTGTTCCCAAAGGAGCTACCTTTGATTCTGTTCCCTCTCCAGCAGCCCACATCCAGATCCCCTCAGGCCTCTCCTTGTGGCCTGTGTCGCTTGAGTCTCTCCTCTCATCATAGCCAGAGCCCCCACTCAGATGCTCAAACTTTCTGTCTGGATTATTGGACCAGCCTTTGGGTAATTTTCCCACCTCCAGCTTCTTTTCTGCCAGTTGATCCTCCATGTCGCTCCCAGAGGGATTTGCTAAAACACAAATCGATTGTGCCACCTCCCAACTTAAAAACAGTTGGTGCTTTTTGTTGTCTGGAAAATAAAATGCAAACCACTTAGTGTGGATCTGTCTACCTGTACCCTCTCCCGGGCAATCCCTTCAGTCTCTCTTGCTCGCCTCCATCCTAGCCCTTATGAGTCCTGTGCTCAGTCCAAAAAAGATTATTAGCAGTTCCCCACACATCATGGCCGCCGCACATGCCATCCCTGTGCTTGCAAAGCCCATTTCCTCTGCCGAGGAAGGAAGGGATAGGTCTGCAGTGTTTCTCAGGAGAGAGCAGTAGCCTGCAGATGATTTGGTTCTTGGCTAGAACCAGATGACCCCCGCTTAATCTTTTAGAACTTCATTTTGGTGCTGAAATCTCAATGGACTTTCCCAGAGAAGCCTGTAGACATTTTGGTACCAGATACAAATTTTCAATCAGCTGTTTGCCTGTGCAGTGTACTTGAGCTTTTCACTCTTGCTTTCCTCAACTGTGAAACGGGAGTGACACCCACCACTGACGGTTGTTCATGTATGTTATATGCCTTCCTTCTTCCCTCCATCCCTCACTGAGACCTAACCCAGTTGCCCTCTCCTCTGTGAAACTTTCCTGATCTTTACCTGAGATTCCCTGGGTTCTTCAAAATGCCATCGTTATAGTTTTATGATACCAAAACTCTTCTAAACTGAGTGGCAGCCTTCTCTCTGACTGAAGAGGACCCTCCCTTCATATAGATGACCAGACAGGATAGCTGGACACTGGTATCATAGATGGTATCCATGTTTAATTCAATTTAGTGGCTATTAATGGAGGACCTCTTCTGAGCTGGCCTCCTGGCTGGGTCACTAGGAGCACAGAGGGGACAGTCACAGGCCCTGCGTCGTAGTGGAGGTAATTCTAGTAGAAAGTATGTACACATGCTTTTGTACTTGATTTTTGCATTCTTTTTTTTTTTTTCCAAGAATGTTGTCCTTTTAATTACTGAACACTTAGGTATGGATAGCAGCCATTCCATACTGTGCCTCTCGGTGGAAAACCCTCACAAGTGCAGTGTGCTAAGGACCAACATTCACTGATTTACTCCGTCTTCTGTTTGCTCCAAAATCTTTAACGCTATTTGTGTTAAAAATCATGCAGAAACCTAAAAATCATGCAGAAACAGGTTTCTACACTTCAGAGTTTGGTATTTGGTTCTGTGTCCTTAATGATCAACATTGTATAGTATTTTAGACTAGAAGATTAGGTGAAGTCTATTTTTGTCCTATAATGTATCTCAGACATTTTTTTATGTCACAGTTGTCATTGTGCTTTCTTGTCACTTATGTATTTTTTTCTAAAAGTTAAGGTGTTCCTTCTACCCTCTCCCAGAAAGACAAAGTGCCTGGCCCTGTGCACCCTGCCCCCTGCCCCCGGTCCCACTCTCAACAGCTGCTCCAGTTGGTTGGTGTCCTTCACTTTATCAGAGTCTGTAGTGTTTCTCTTGCTGTCGTCGCTGGGCTGATCCTGCAGCCTTTGAAGTCACTGACCTCCTTTCAGAGAGCAGCCATTTGATAAGAACTGCAGAGAGGAGCTCCTGATTTGCATTCATAAAAATTTCAGTAAATTAGGAATGATACTGTTCCTGCCATCTCCCCTCCCCTTTGTCTTGGGAATTCAGAAACTTCTGTACATATGGTAGTTGACTTGTTTAGTCAATGTCCAGCACTCACTGAGCACCTAACAGATGCCAGACAGCATCGTGAAACCTGGAAATACAGTGCTGAGTGAGGCAAAGAAAGTCCCTGCTCTCGGAGTGTTTACATGGCTGAGGGCGGTTATTACATAAACAGGGCAGGATGAGTGCCGTCATAAAAATAAAACAGGGACTGACTTGGGGGTCTGCTTTAGGTGGGGTGCTCAGGAAGGGCCCTTGTGAGAGGGTGTGATACTTGGTACTGGCTGGTTATCCCTGAAAAACGGAGAGTATTCTGTGTATGGTTCTGGAACAGAGCAGTGGCAGAGAAACGAAAGACGTGGGGAGCCGAGCATTGCTCTGTGGAAAGCGCTTCGACTGGAAACAGGGCCACCCAGGCTCTCAGATACCGCCCCCCCCCCAGCCCTCCCCAGCCACTCATGGCCTGCGGTACGTCCTGGAAAGCCTGTAGACCTCAGGTTCCTCGTGCCAGTGAAAGCGCTGGGGTCCTCTCGGCCCAGCTTTGGGTCTGCTTAGCTCTTCGGTGGTCTGCACTGCCTCCCAGTGTTGTCAAAGAGACTCGGGTGTCTTGTATTTACTGACTTGTAGTCCTTGTTCTGTGAGTGGCTCTGTAGAACTACCAAAGCTCCGGTATGATCTGGAAAATGACATGTAGATAGCATGGCTGTTTTTCAGTTCTGTCTAGATCACCTCCTGCCTCCCCTTTTCCCCCTAGCACAGGCGCGCCTCAGAAGCACTGTCTCTAGTTCGGGGATTGGAGTCTCCACCGACGTGAACATATGGTTCCTTGTTTGCCAAACTACAGCCACACTAGTGCTGGTTTCACCTTAGAAACAAGCCGGCCCCAGATAAAAATGTTTGATTAGAGCTGATCCTGCCAACAACGGGGACTGGTTTCAGTTCTGGAGGGAAGTTGCTAAGTATTAGCTAAATCCCTCCCGATCTCCTCCTCCGTAAGGTAGAGTTAATGGAACCTCATGCCCAGGAGGGGAGGATACCGTGACTCCAACACGAAGAGACTTGTGAGAGGGTTTACTTCTCTGTGTACACCATGAAACGGAGCACCATCTCGGGGTCCTAAAAGTCAAGTCCTGTTACATTAGCTCTTTGAGCTCAGATGGCCACGCATGTAGCACAAAAGCTAGAGAATTCTCATTCCTCTGAACTAGTGTAGGACTAGTCACCATAAGGAAAATACCCCCACTTAATAAGGAAAGGCTGTCCTCAGTGAACAAAAAGCCCTCTAAAAACTTGTATTTCTGCTCCTTAAAAGATACATGTGTCATCTAATGCTCTCATTTTTTTGGTGGGAAATAACATTGCAGGTGCCTCATGCAGCCCAACGTAGAAACCAGCCTGTTCACAGTTCCTCATACACCCAGGAGTGTTCCCGCCTTTCCATGTTTCTATTTCCGTGCTTTATAAACATAACCCACTCTGGTGAAACCCGGTTGAAACAAATGAGCATTAACCTAGTCTCAGCACTCTGCAACAACTTTTGGATAATCAGAAATGGGCTCCATAAAAGACATTCTTTCAGGTTAGAGGTTAGAGATTCCGAAGCTGGGCAGTCTTTCAAGAAAGCCAAATTCAGGGCGCCTGGGTGGCTCAGTTGGTTAAGCGACTGCCTTCGGC